CTCCAAGAGGTGTGGGGGGGCCTTCTCAGCAAGCCTTCCCGCCTCACCCTTAGGGCGAAGAGATCTATGCATATCCACTGCTCCTGGCCAGGCCAATCCTGGGCCCAGGAGCGGTGTATACGCCCTCCTGGCCTGGCCAGGGAGGCATATACACAGCTCCTGGGCCCAGGATGGGCCTGGCCAGGAGCAGTGGATATGCATAGATCTCGTCGCCCTAACCCTGTCCCCGTGCAAGCTCCGCCGATCCTGGTCTGCAGCTTGGTCACCACGAACACCTTCCGCGATGGGCCGCGAGCCGACCCGGACCTCCTGCGTCGCGACTCCCGGCGGGCGGCTCTTCCAACATCTGCGCCTCTGGAGGCGGGCCCCGGGACCTTCAAAGGAGAGAGGCCCGCAACCAAGACACCACTTCGGGGGATGAGATCGAGAGCCCTGGGGTGGGTGTGGGCACGTCGCAAGAAAGTTCGAGGTCAGAGGTCTGCGGATCCGAGGCCTGGCCAGACCAGGCTGCGACGACGAAGGCGCGGACGAGGAGGACGACGAGGGGAACGCGGACGAGGGCTAGACGGTAGGACGGGGACGACGATCGCGGTCTGACGCGAACCGGCCAGACCGAGGCGAGCGGACACCGAAACGAACCGAGCCCGGGCCATCGCCAGGTGGCGTACCCCACCGACCTTCTCGGATAGGAGGCGGGTGTAGGGTTTGGACTTCGCCACGCGTTCGACAATTGCGCGGGGCAGCGCCCGGAAATTCTGGGCGTCGCGGGGCGGCGCCCGGAAATTCCAGTGGCCCCCGTAACGGTCTGGACGGGCGTACCGGCCTATCCGCTATCGATCTTCGTCATCGTCTTCAATCCGTACATCTTTCATCATTTGTTGTTGAGTTTGATTTTCGATATGCTGCAGACGTTGTTCGCAGACACGCCCGTGCTCGTCGCAACTTGACTCTTGTCTTGAGGACGCGGCAGATCCTTGACAGCATCGATCATCATATTACGTGGACCAAGGTTGTTTCTCACAACGGTGCCGTACTAAATGACCGTGCTGATCACCTGGCTGATTGCGGTGCTAATGGTATGTCGTCCCCCTTGTCATCGTTTTCCACGATTTCAAGATGGGCTCGAGCTTCGCGGTAATATTTGGCATTGTGTTCAAGTAGCCCTTGGGCTTTTTCATTATCACGCGTTCGACAATTTCTGAACCCTATCCCCGCCGCCCATCGAGCGGTCTGAATTGTGGATCGGCGAGGGAAGGGCTCGGACTCCACCCCCGAAGCGCGCACCTCCTCGCGCGGCACGCCGCTCTGCCGCAGCGCCTCGCCAACGTCGCCCTCGTTCCTGTAGGCCTGGGCGGTGTCGATCAGGCGCAGGCCCTGTCGCAGCGCCGCGAGGCAGGCCTCCCAGAGATCCGACGTAGCGAAAAACATGCAACGTCGTAAAGACACAGGCCGGGAGCCCTGGACCCCACCTCTCTGCCTCTTTTTTCGAGCCGGGCGAAAACGTCCGATCCCAGACATCCGACGTCGCGATTTTTTCCCAACGTCGACCCCCAGAGGTCTCGACCCCTTCCCCGGGACCGGCTTCTCCTCCCGAGTCGTTTCTTGACGGTCACGGGGCCCGGGAAGGGCCCCTGGAGGCCGAAAGTGGCAAAAAACCTGCCGCCGTGATTTTTGTCACGCGTTCAACGCGAGGGGGTCCGGGACTGCAGCAGGCGCCAGGATCTCGGGCCTCGCGGCAGCACCCGCCGCCCTCGGCCAGCCACGTCCCCAGCCCCAGGCGCGGCATCCGCGCGCCGCGCCGCAGGCGCAGCCGAGCGCCGCGCGGCACCGGCCCGGGGGGCAGCGGCTCGCAGGCCGGGGCGTCGACGGGAGCACGCGCAGGCGCAGGGGTCCAAATCGAGACGCTGCACAGCGAAGCGCCGCCAAAAGCCGAATTCGGATGCTTGCTGAATTCAGCAGGCACGCGCTTACCCATCGGTCGGAAGAAGCAGGCAGGAGCATGAAGCAGGAAGGCGTGGAAAGCAGATTGGGTGTCCGCCCGCCCCCTTTAAAGAGGACGGAACAGGTGACGCCACTCGATCATCGAAGCAGGAAGGCGCTCAAGACAGACTGGACTGGGACTCCGAGAATACCTGCCTTCAACGACCGATGGGTGTGTGCTCGGCTGGCCACGAGCGCCCGCCGCCCCGAGAGGTCGTCCCCGGGGGTGCTCCGGGGCCCCGGGAGGCCCCGCGGCTCCCGACGGGCCCAGACCCCCTCGCGGTGTGACGAAAATCACGACGGGGAGTTTTGTCCAGCCTTTTCGGCCTCCGGGGGCCCTTCCCGGGCCCCGTGACCGTCAAACGACGGCCCGAGAGGAGAAGCTGGTCCCGGGGAAGGGGCCGAGACCTCTGGGGGTCGACGTCGCGGAAGAATCACGACGTCGGAGGTCTGGGAAGGGGCCGAGGGCGCCCAGGCAGCAGGGCGGCTCCGGCAGCCGCGTGACATCGAGCCGCACCTCCGAGATGCGCCCAGGTCTTTTCTCGGCGGCGAGCGAGGGGGGGAAGTGAGAGGGAGAAGGCCTTCTCAGAAGGTTCGGAAGTCCCCTGGCCTTCTGAGAAGTTGTCTGCGCCTTCCCCGAAGACAAAGAACGACGCCTCAGAAGGCGCGAGGGCTTCTGAGAAGTCCCGCCGCCTTCTGAGAAGGCCTTCTCCTTCTCGTGTGCCCCCCTCGCTCGCCGCCGACTTGCCACGCGCGGGCCTGCGGACCTCCCGGCACCCCTGCCCTGGGAGATCGGTGCTCCGTCCCAGGCTCGCGCGTCGAGGGCCCCTGCGGAGCCCCGAACCGCCTTCCTCCTCCTCCTCCTCCTCCTCCTCCTCCTCCTCCTCCGCCTCCTCCTCCTCCTCCTCCTCCCCCCGCCCCCGCGGAGGCCGAAGGTGGCGAGAAGCCTCTGCCTTCATTTTCCCCAGGACGCCCAAGGTTTGTGGCCGCCTCCTAGCTCAAAGCCGGGCATGCGTGTCCCTCTACAGGAAGGGAATGCTCAAGAACAGTGCAAACATGATTTGGTGATGCTTCTTCGTGTTCTTTCGATTAGGTTATGATTATCTTTTGACTCGCCTTAACTTGTCTTACAAAACCTGCCAGTAGGAGGACATGCCCGACCCAATCCTAGATGGGGTCCGAGAAGATGGGGTCGGAGGATCGCGCCGCATTGGCAATGCATCGGCGCTGCCGGTGTGGAGAAAGCTGGGCTCCATATCGAAGCGTATCGCCAATGCACCGGCGATGCGGCGCGATCACCCGACCCCACTGACTCGGACCTCCACCTATGAGGCCTGGAGTCGTTTGTTGCAGTGGATCTCTCAGGCTCTCCGCGGCCTCGAGCGGTGTACTTTCTGAGTCTTCGCGTAGGGAATCAACTACATAATCCGCTGGCCCCCTTGTGGGGCCACCAGGCTGTAGGGCTAAGCTTCGCAGTTTCCTGTACCAGTTGCAGCTTCCAGTTTCCACTGTTACAGTTCTGATTCTTGCTGCTTACTGTTCCTTGTTGACTTCTTGCTGCTTACTGTTCCTTGTTATGGGCCGCGCGAGGTGGGGAGGCCCAAAACGGACATTTTTACCACGGCCAAAACGTATTGTCTGAATTCCTGGGGCGGGTAAAAATTTGCACCCCTCACGCAGATCGGCGGGGTCAGGGTGCAAAAACACATGGGATTTGCCACATTTCTAAAATTCGGCGGCACTCCTCTCGCAGATCGACGGGGTCAGGGTCCAAAAACACAATGGAATTTGCCACATTTCTGAAATTCGGTGACACCCCTCACGCAGATCGGCGGGGTCAGGGTCCAAAAAACATATGGGATTTGCAACATTTCTACAAATGCGGAGGCATCCCTCACGCAGATCGGCGGGGTCAGGGTTCAAAAACATATGGGACTTGCTACATTTCTGAAATTCGGTGGCACCCCTCACGCAGATCGGCGGGGTCAGGGTCCAAAAACACAATGGGATTTGCCACATTTCTGAAATTCGGCGGCACCTCTCACGCGGATCGGCGGGGTCAGGGTCCAAAAACACATGGGATTTGCCACATTTCTGAAATTCGGTTGCACCCCTCACGCAGATCGGCGGGGTCAGGGTCCAAAAACACATGGGATTTGCCACATTTCTAAAATTCGGTGGCATCCCTCACGCAGATCGGCGGGGCCAGGGCCCAAAAACAAATGGGATTTGCCATATTTCTAAAAATTCGGCGGCGGTCCAAAAACACAATGGGATTTGCCACATTTCTGAAATTCGGCGGCACCCCTCACGCAGATCGGCGGGGTCAGGGTCCAAAACGCACAGTCGGCGGCACCCCTCACGCAGATCCGTAGGGTCAGGGTCCAAAAACACATACGGGATTTGCCACATTTCTGAAATTCGGCGGCACCCCTCACGCAGATCCGTAGGGTCAGGGTCGAAAAACAAACAGGTCCCGACACTGCTTCACGGCGAAGCCAAAGCCTCATGAATTCGCTCTTCCATGGTCCATTCTCCGAAAGAGGGGGCCGGCCTTACGGATTGATTTACCCCAAAAGAAATTGCCCGTCGAACCAACGGAAGTATTCTACGCATTCGAATTCTCAATCGATTTGCAAGCATTCTACGCATTCGTCGTAGATTCGATGGGGAAAATCAAGTTTGGGGTTAATCAATTCTGTAGTCGAAAAAAAACATAAACATCAACTTCTGGCGCTCCGCAAGGACTTCTTGGATCTGCGCTGGACCCCCCTCCCTGACGCGCGGAGCGCGCCGGGGGCAGCGCCAGAGGCGCCGCCGGGGGTGCCCAGCGCGCATCCAAGAAATCCGCGTGGAGCGCCAAGAGCTCATGTTTACGCCGTCCTGTTCTTCTTCGGGCCGATCCCCCACGCTCGAAGTCTGAGCCTCGGGCCGGCTCGCGCTCCTGCCAACGCCCGCGCAGGGGCCCGGCTCCGCGGGCTCCGCGGGGGCCGCGGCGGTGCCTCGCCCCGCGGCGCCCCAGCGGCGCCTGGCCGGCGCGGCGGCCGCGGGAGGCGCGGCGCCGGGTTCTTCGGGTGCGGTGCGGTCGGCCACCGCGGCGGTTCCGCGGTCAGGGCCCACCTCGTGAGCAGGGACCCGCCCGTCCCAGCATTCCTATGTAGGCCAGCCGCGGCATGGTCTCAGAACCCCGACATGTTATAAGAACGAAGCAATGTTCTTAGAACAGAAACCCGAACTGTCCTTCATAACAATGTCCTTAAACAATATTCTTCAAACAAGATGGTCTCAGCCAGAAATGCTCGAAGAACATTGCGTGCAGACCACAACAAAGATTCTTAGGACACTCTTTGGTGGGCCTATAGGCAAGCCCGGACGCTTCGCCACTGCTCGACACCTCGGGGGCGAGGGGGTCGAGGGGGTCGCCAGCCGCGAGGTCGAAGCGGTGGGCGCCGACGACCTCCGCGCGGAACCTCGCCGCGGCGGGGGCGGAGAGGGGGGGAGCGGTCGCTTCTCGGCAGGGGGAAGCAAGATCGAGCAAGCGCTGGGCATTTAGGCCTGCGCGGCTTTCAGCACGTCGAACTGCTTGGGAACGCTGAGGAGCAGGATGAGGAGGAGGAGGAGGAGGAGGAGGAGGAGGAGGAGGAGGAGGAGGGAGACCAGTGTGAACCCAAGACTCATCAACGATGTTGGAACAAACTCTCCCTCCAAGCTCCCACTTCGTAAGCCCCATACGAAGATTCATTCACTGAGGAACGCGCCCCGCTGGGAGACAACCGTTAAGATCCTGAAGTGTACCAAAACACACTTCTCGGGACACGAACGCCACGAACCAATCTGACTGTTGCGGCTTGACGATCCTGAATCGTGCCAGAACGCCGTTCTTGGGACTTCAACACCGCGAGTCAACGTAGCTGTTGCGCCTTGACAACCTTAAATCGTTCCAGCACGCAATTTCTGGTGCGCTAACCATGCGAATGCGCGAAAATCCTGTAACGTGCTAAAGCGAATGTGCGCGGCGCTACGTTGCCCAGCATGCCGAACGCGTGTGCGGACTGCCTCTGCCGCGCTGCGACGTAAAGAATACGCGCGGCGCCAAGGCGAGAGCCACATTTTTTTGAAATCCACCTGCCCTCAATCCGTGAAGCTCTGTCAAAATGGGACTCTCGGTTGGAAGCTTCCTCACTGTTGGTGGCCATGCGTGTATCAACTCAACGTTGCGTCACAGCTACACTGATGGACGCGACTCCTTTTCAAAACAGGGCTTTCGCTGGACGCCTCGTTGGACTTGATTATCCTACGTACCTTTTCGCACGACGCATCGCTCGCGAGAAAAGTGCACGGCAGCTCCTTTTCAAAATGGTACTCTCGCCTGCATGGCAGGCCCATCGGGTACTCGTTCTTCAAAGGGACGCCTCCTGTAGAGAATAAGTAAGCGTGTGGGAACTTATGAGGGGAGGACTTGGGACGGGGAGAGTGCCTTGCAGCATCGTTGGTGCGTATCGGGTTTACTCTGATCCTCCACCTCCTCCTCCTCCTCCTCCTCCTCCTCTTCCTCCTCCTCTTCCTATTCCACCTCATCCTCCCCCTCCTTCCCTCCTCTCTCCCTCTCTTCCTTGGCCCCTTCCATCCTTCCGTCCTCCCTTCCTTCCTTCGTTTCCTCTCTGATCTGCTCCTTCTCGGGCGCCGCAGTCCGCCCAGGCGCACTCCCCTGCTGGCTCCCAAACGAGGCGTTATCCCTTCCTCCTCCTCCTCCTCCTCCTCCTCCTCATCATCATCATCATCAGTATCAGCATCATCACCATCAGCATCGGCATCAGCATCAGCATCAGCACCAGCACCAGCACGAGCACCAGCAGCAGCAGCAGCACCAACACCAGCAGCAGCACCATGACCATGACCATGACCATGACCATGACCATGACCATGACCATGACCATGACCATCGTCATCACCAGCATCAGCATCAGCATGAGCATCAGCATCATCATCACCAGCATCAGCATCATCATCACATAATCATCACCACCACCACCACCACCACCACCGTCACCATCACCATCACCATCACCATCACCATCACCATCACCATCACCATCACCATCATACAGATCATTATTATCATCATCATCATCATCATCATCATCATCATCATCATCATCATCATCATCCTCATCCTCATCCTCATCATCATCATCATCCTCATCATCCTCATCCTCATCCTCATCCTCATCCTCATCCTCATCATCATCATCATCATCATCATCATCATCATCAGCATCATCTCAGCATCAGCATCATCATCATCATCATCATCATCATCATCATCATCATCATCATCATCATCATCATCATCATCATCATCATCATCGTCACTCCCTTCCTCCTCCACATCATGATCGGGGATGTTGTCAGAAGTGTCCCAGGTCCGAGGTGCCCTAATGAGATTCGGGGCCTTGGAAACATCGGGCGTCTCTTCCAGGTCGTCTCAACCCAAAATGGGGCCGTTGGAGCTTCCATGGCAGCCCTACGGACAGCTCGAGTCAGGATCTTTTCTGTCAACGCCCGAGTTGTTAAGCACGGGCGGCCCAAGAACCCAAAGGCTGCACCCCGAGGTGGAACCTGCCAGCTCAACCGCTTCCCGCCCGCCATTGGAACGATGTTGACGGGTCCGGGAGGTCCCCCAACAAGAGGAAAGGGTCCTCCGTCATCTGGCTGGCTTTCGGGCCTCAGTTCGGCCCTTAGATGGCCGTTGGGGGCGGTTTGGGCCTCCCTGGAAAGCGCTCGGCGGAGAGCAGCTGATGGAAAACACGCTGGGCCCCAGATTCAAGACGAAGAAAAAAACTGCAATACAAACTCCAGACGCTGGCGGCGCCCAGGGGGGGCTAAGTGGAGGGGGAGAGGCTTCTTAGAAGGCTTCCTTTTAGAAGGCGCTGGCCCCACATCTATAGAGCAGGCCCGCGCCTTCTCGGAGTCAGCCTCCCTGTACTCAAAAGCCTTCCCCCCTCCCCCTACCCCCTTTCTGCGCGTGGCCGACAACGCAAAACGGGGGGTGGCAGTCTGGATTCGGCCATAGGGGAGCCGCGCCGCGTCGTCTTCGTCCCCGAAGATCAGAGGCCCTAGAAGCTGGCATCAACACCAACGCCAGCGGCGGCATCCACCGACTGAATATGCGCCTCGATCTCAGCAATGGTGATATTAATCGGGCCTCCGTGGCAGCAGAACCGAAAAACGACTGAATCGATAGCGAACATGAATATCAAAACCGACAGACCGCGAACGTAGCCGACTGCGAAGCAGCCGAACAAACCGAGTCGCGGACACCCTTGGCCTCTCATGCGGCCTAAATCCGCCAACCCCCGTTTTCCTGGGGCGAGAATGCGCGTGGAAAGATTGTCTGTCTCCGTTGCCCTCCCCAAGAGCCCAAGGGTCCAAAATGGATTTTTGTCGCAACCGCAGGCGAAGGCGCCAGCGGCGAGTCGAGTCGGCTCGGGCAGCGAGCGGAACTAATTGCCGGCGCGCGAGGGGCAAGCAGGAATTACCGCCGGGGGAAGCGGCTGCGCCGAAGCTGTGCAGCAGCGCCAGGGGGGTGGGGACTGCAAGCTGCTGGGGCTGCCAGGAAGCTGCAAACGTGCGAGTACCATGGGAGCTGAATCGCCAAGTATGCGAATTAACCAACCAGGGTTGGGGCGCGGGGTCGTACCAGGATGTGGCCAGGGGGGCAACCAAGCAGAACACTGCGTCCGCTGCCATGGGTGGATCAACTGGCCCTAAGCTGGTGCGTCGGGTGGCGCCACCAAAATCGCACACCAAACCGCCTGAAGGGAGTACTGATCCTGAACCGACCGTCCAATCCAAAATGCACGCTAAACAACAAGAGCCGGACATGAATCCGGTCCCTAGGTTGCGCATCGCACTGAAGATCCACATACATCAAGTTATGAAAAATTGAATACTTTTCGTGCGGGGGGCGTGTCCATTTTGGAGAGAGTGCGTTTCACGGGCGCTTGCCCTGGGAATATTCGGCGGCGCGTTTCGAACCAGGGGGTGCGCCCCCCCTCCCCCTAACCCCCCCCCTCCCGAACCCCTCCCCCCCCGCCTTGGCGCCGGCGCTGGCGCTGCCCGTAGCGCCAACGCAGCGACGATGACCAGAGAGAGCCCAGGAAAGGGGGGGGGTCAAACCCCCCCCCCGCGCCAGCGCCGGCGCCGGCGCTGGCGGCGGTCAGCAGCGCCGACGGCGGGGACGCAGCGACGATGACCAGAGAGGGCCCAGAGGCCGCAGAGGAAACACACAAATCCCCATATCGAGCCCTCGCATGCTCCTCAGACGCCCCCGAAACTCTTCTGACGAGACCTCAAGAGGCATCCATTAGAACTCTAACCCTTTGCCAAAACACAATGGCGGGAAGAGCCGAAGAGTGTGTGTGTGTGTGTGTGCGTGTGCGTGTGCGTGTGCGTGTGCGTGTGCGTGTGCGTGTGCGTGTGCGCGTGCGCGTGCGCGTGAGCGTGCGTGTGCGCGTGCGCGTGCGCGTGCGCGTGCGCGTGTGCGTGCGCGTGTGCGTGTGCGTGTGCGTGTGCGTGTGCGTGTGCGTGTGCGTGTGCGTGTGCGTGTGCGTGTGCGTGTGCGCGTGCGTGTGCGTGTGCGCGTGCGCGTGCGTGTGCGCGTGCGTGTGCGTGTGCGTGTGCGTGTGCGTGTGCGTGTGCGTGTGCGTGTGCGTGTGCGTGTGCGTGTGCGTGTGCGTGTGCGTGTGCGTGTGCGTGTGCGTGTGCGTGTGCGTGTGCGTGTGCGTGTGCGTGTGCGTGTGCGTGTGCGTGTGCGTGTGCGTGTGCGTGTGCGTGTGCGTGTGCGTGTGCGTGTGCGTGTGCGTGTGCGTGTGCGTGTGCGTGTGCGTGTGCGTGTGCGTGTGCGTGTGCGTGTGCGTGTGCGTGTGCGTGTGCGTGTGCGTGTGCGTGTGCGTGTGCGCGTGCGTGTGCGCGCGTGTGTGTGTGTGGTGTGTGTGTGTGTGTGCGGGTGTGTGTGCTTTTGTGTGTTTGTGTACCAAGAGGCCTCACGACGGCTCGAAATCTGCCAATCATCAAATTGCTTTAATTGCTAGTTGCCTTCTCGCCTCTTCGCGTCTGATGGGATTCTGAGGCGGATGGCCAAGATCGCCCGAAAGGCCCACAAACGCTCTAAGACGGCCCCGACGGCACCAGACAACACCCCAACAGCGTCCAAAGAACCAAACAAAGCCCAAGAGGCGAATTGTACGGTCACCAGGGGGGCACTCACGGACCCCAACAGGCCCCCCTGAAAGAAACGAGAGGGCCTCAATGGCTCCCAAATGGACCCCGAGAGACCCCAAAGACGTCTCCAAGAGATTCCCAATATCGTGTTGCATAACTGTATGCTTGCATACATCCCTTCTCTCGGCGGTTCGCCTGGGTGTCGTCTCTGCATGGGCTGTCGGGTATGGGAAGCGCTCATAATCACAGCCGCCTATGCACCTTTCAAGGGTTGGCGGAAGGGCGTAAACCTCTTGAATATCACACACTACCGCACCAAGATCCCGGTCGAAAATCGTCCTGCCCGGGCCCCTGGCCGTGGCGGAGGCAACACCCCACATGTGATTAAGACACGCTCGTGCCATGACGTCGTCGGCTCTGGCTTCTGGGCGAACTGTTCGACCTTGACGGATCTCCTGCCGCGGAGGTCCCTCAGATCGGGGGCGTCCAAGAGGGGGCGCAGATCATGGCCAACGGCATGTGTGCGGCCCAGGGGGGGGGGGCAGGAACGCATTGAAATAAGAAGAGGTGCCATGAAATCGGGGGAGATATCATGGCCCCCGCCATGATGTCCCCCCCCCCCTAGTCATCACCCCCCCTTGGCCGCCCCCGATCGGAGGCCCTTGGCCGCCCCCGACCGCCCCAGACTCCTTCCGCAACGCGAGCTGTGCTCTGCCCATGGGCACCATGTCCAAGGCGTTCAACCCGGAGCGCTCGCGCCGGCGTCCCCGCGTCGAGCCTCTACCTGCCGTGCTGGTGTCCGGAAGGGGGAAAAGGTCAGACCCACGACGCCTTGATTTTTTCATGACGCGACCCCAAAAGTCCGGACCCATTCGCCGGGACCGGTTTTGCATCCTGGGTCGTTGTTTGACAGTCCCAAAGGCCGGTAAGGGCCCCCAGAGGCCGAAAATAGCAACAATGACAACAACAACAGCAGCAACAACAGCAACAACAGCAACAGCAACAACAACAACAACAACAACAACAATCATTTTACCCGAACGCTCAGTGTTCTCCCCAGTGCCAGGGTTTTCATGCGACGCCAGCCAATACCCCCACTTCGTGGGGGGGCAATGCAAGCTCTACCAAACATCCACACGACTCTCGGGAACCACCCACACCCAGCTTCCCGCCCTATGACGTCAGGACACTTCACTTCGTGGCGCGCGGACGATCGTGGATACTACACTGGCGTGGAGTACACACCCGCAGAGGTTAATCACTTGTTTGGGCCCCGCATGTGCCCCGCATCGTGCATTTGTTGCGCATGATATGAGAGCAAGACAGAGAGAGAGAGAGAGCAAGACAGAGAGACAGAGAGAGAGAGAGAGAGAGAGAGCAAGACAGAGAGCCAGAGGAGAGCTACGGTGCGATTCGTGTGATTTTATGATGCGCGGTGCTAAAATTCTTAAAAACCCAATGATTTTTGGAGATTTCGGCGTGCGCGCGCGAAGAAAAAACGAATATGTCCCGCATGGTATTATTTGACAGGGATGATGGCCCTGGCAGGTGCGCAAACGTTGTCGCAGAAGTTCGAAAAAGTTGCTCGCAAAAGCCCGTTTGACAGAATTGTTTAAAAAGTGTTGGTTTTCCTACGAATCCGCAAGAGCGCGCGGAAGAACATTTTGACAATTTTTTCTTAAAAAACCATTGGGTTTTTGATGTTTTTATGTTAAAATCGCTACGAAACCTAAGGTTTTGGAAGGATTTCGTCTTGCGCGCACGAATGTCCACTTTACCTTATTTTTTGCAAGGGATTCTTGCAATTTGATCAAGTAAGAACAAGAATTTTCATTTTATAGTGTTTTTTGCAAGGGAAAACGGAGTACAACAAAACAACCGGATCCGGTAATAATTCACTTTTCTGAAGCTTTCGCTAAAAAATGATGAAAATGTAGCTGCGGCCTAGGTTTTGGAGGGGGGTCGCGCACCAGGGGTCCCAACAATAATTATTCTTTAGAAGTAATAATGTTCAACAACAACAACATTTTACCCGAACGCGTGGTGTTCTCCCCAGTGCCAGGGTTTTCATACGACACCAGGCAATACCCCCACTTCGTGGGGGGGCATTACAAGCTCTACCAAATATCCAAACGACTCTTCGCGACCACCCAAACCCAGCTTCCCGCCCTATGACGTTGGGACACTTCACTTCGTGGCGTGCGGACGACCGTGGCTACTACACTGGCGTGGGGTACACACCCACAGAACCCAATGGTTTTTGGAGATTTCGGCGTGCGCGCGCGAAGAAAAAACGA